TTAGCTTGCCGTAGAGATAACTCCCCACGTTGATCTTCCAGACGAATGCCACGTGCTCCAAACCTTGCAGCTCACTTGCTCCACCTCCATCTCATCATGCCGGTAGTCCGTGTACATCAGGGAGTAGGCTGCTTCACGGCCCAGGTAGACGAAGAAGTCATCGTTCACCGACTGACACGCAGGTGGAGAACTCGTGACCGTCTTGTGTTCTCGAGCTCCAGGTCGTAGGCCACCTTCACCGCGTAATGCCGTGTACCAGTCTCTAACAACTCCAGCTCCTGATTCAACTCGCATGACCTTCTTCTTCATGAACAACACCGCATCCAACGCCACCAGCGCCGCAATGCTCAGAAGCAAAGGTGATGGCGGCAATTCGGAAACTTCGAATGCTTTTCGCTCAGGTGTTCAGGTCCCAGGCTTTGGTGACCTACTTTGCAGAGACAACTGCCGATGAAGAGGCCCTGGTCGGAACCCCAGAGAAACTGGTGCGTGACGGCGAGGCGCGGTATCGTTTGGCCAGCAAAGCGGTCAGGCAGAACTGGGGCGGGCCGAGAATCTGTTCCCGGAGAACATGATGACGATTTGAGTTCGGTGAGCACTACTGAAACAGTGTGCGAAACCGAAGACGAACATGGGAATGTTCGTAAGTTGACTAAAGCGGAAATTTTGATCCGAAAGATGGGAAAGAAAGAACTGAAGAAAGAAATGAAGCGCGCTCCGTCTTCTCGCAAGCATAGCCCTCCGGGAGCGATTTCGAATACTCTTCTCGCCGCTTCCTCAAATGCATACAGGAAGTGCACGCGGTATCCACCAAAGCCACATGCGATTCGTTGACGCCGGTGCCATCGTCCGTGAGCTGATGATGAACCTTCATCGCATCTTCTGCGCAACCACCGATTTGTATTCGACCTTCATCTTCATCTGCAGCAAAAGCACATTCCATGCGGTCACGAAGTGCTTCAACGCAACCAATTCTGACTGAATTCTCACCATGCAATTGCCCCCCTCGAGCCGCGGGGGCGTCCATCACATTCTCAAAGACCACCTCGCGGTTCTTCTTCTTGCCCTTGTTCTTGTTGACGCAGTTGCAGTTATCGTTGCTGTTGGCGCTGCCAGTGTTGTTGTCGTTGCCACTGCTGGCCAGCTGCTATCCGCGTTGTTGTTGCTGCTGCTGTTGGTGTTGCTGCTGCTAATGTTGTTCTTGTTTTTGTTGCTAACGGCTTCGCAGGCAGCCACGGCAGCTGCTGCTAGCCATCGTTTCGCGGTTGCTGCGGCGGTTGCAGTTCGGGTTTGTCGCTGTCGCTGCGCGGCTGTTGGTTTTGCCGGCAGCGCCGCCACTGGTGTTGTAGGTTTAGTCCTCGCCATTGTCGTTGCTGCTGTTGCTGCGGTTGTTGCTTCTTGCTACTGTTACCTTTGCGGTTGGTGTAGCTCTTGCTTTTGTTGCTGCTGCTAATGATGCTTTGCTGTTGCTGCTGCTCTTGTCGTTGTTGCTGTTTCTATTGCCGTCTTCATTGTCACGACGGCTGCTGCTGCTGTTGTTGCTACTGCGGTTGCTGCTGCTCCTGATGTTGTCGTCGATGACACTGATATTGGTATTGATGTTGGTGTTGGTGCCGTTGCCGCTGTTTCTGTTGTTTTTTTCTGTTGCTGTTGCTGTTGCCATTGTCGTCGCTGCTTCTGCTGCTGCTGCGACGCTTGTTGCTGATTTGGTTGGGGTTGTGGTTCTGGCTGCGGTTCGACAAGCTGTTCTTAAGTTAGTAATTCTGCGTGTTGTTTCTGCGGCTACTCACAGGGGAACAGACTGCGCCAGCCTGGCCTTGAAGAACAGATATGCCTTTCAAAGATCACGCGCGCTTAGGCAAAAGAGGGGCCTTGCCCTGAATTTGTGCTACAGTTGACAGGCGTCATAATTTCTTAAAGCGCCGGGTTGACCGAAACGTGACCTTCGACAAATAATTGCTGGCTGGCTGGGGCTGTCAGCGCTGGAAACTATCGGCGAATCACGGTTGCGTGGGCCCTGAGCGCTGGTGGGCGAAATTGGCAATAAACTCAACATTGCTCATTTGTTTGAATCTCAGATTTTTCAATCGACAACCAATAGGACCAATATCCGATTTTCCAAGCACCGACGTGAAAACCAAACTTTCGACAAATCTAAATATTGTTGAGCCCTTCAAATCACGCAGGCACCGTTGGCCAGGAGCCAGAACACCCTTCAGCAAACAGCACTGGGCTCAAATTGCAGGTCACCAGCTGCCAACCTGGAGCTGGCAGCTGGCAGCTGCCAGTCTGGAACCGGAAACTGCCAGCTCCAGACTGCCAGCTCCAGACTGTCAGTCCGGAGCTGGCCTGTCTGGAGTTGGCAGCTGGCAGCTGACAGTCTGCAGCTGGCAGTCTGGCAGCTGGCAGTCTGCAGCTGGCAGTCTGCAGCTGGCAGTCTGTTGGCAGTCTGCAGCCGGCAGTCTGCATCTGGCAGCCTGCAGCTGGCAGCCTGCAGCTGGCAGCCTGCAGCAAGGTTTGGTCACAAAACCCTTCAAAATCCCGACCCCCGTTTTGTGACCGTTCCGACCTCGGAATGGTCACAAAATTTCGGCGAGGTCCCGGAAGACCCCCCGACCCCCCAAGCCAGAAAGAGCGTTTTTTGTCCCAGGCTCCCGTTTTGCGACCGTTCCGAGGGGTCGGGATTTTGAAGGGTTTTGTGACCAAAACTTGCTGCAGACTGCCAGCTGCAGACTGCCAGCAGACTGCCAGCTGCAGACTGCCAGCTGCCAGCTGCAGACTGCCAGCTGCAGACTGCTAGCTGCCAGACTGCCAGCTGCAGACTGTCAGCTGCCAGCTGCCAACTCCAGACAGGCATCTCACAGCTCTGCACTGGCAGCTGCCGTGCCAGCTGCGGACTGGTCTGGAGCTGGCAGTTTCCGGTTCCAGACTGGCAGCTGACAGCTGCCAGCTCCAGGTTGGCAGCTGGTGACCTGCAATTTGATGCCCAGTGATACTTGCTGAAGGGTTTTCCGGGTTGCCCAGTGCAGTTTTTACACATGTTTGCCCTATAACCCCTGGCCAACGGTGCTTGCGTGATTTGAAGGGCCTACTGCTCAACAATATAGATTGTCGAAAGTTGGGTTTTCACGTCGGTGCATTGAAAATCGATTGTTGGCTGCCGATTGAAAAATCTTAGATTCAATCAAATGAACAATGTTGGGCACAGGGGGGTTTATTGCCAATTTCGCCCACCAGCGCTCAGGGCCCACACAACCGTGATGTTTCCAGCGCTGACGGCCCCAGCCAGCCAGCAATTATTTGCGAAGGTTACGTTGCGGCAAACACGGTGCTTTAAGAAACCATGATGCCTGTCAACTGTAGCACAAATTCAGGGCAAGGCCCCTCTTTTGCCTAGGCGCGCGCGATGTTTGACAGGCGTATATTGTCTTCAACGCCAGGCTGGTGCAGTCTGTTCCCCTGTGAGTAGCAGCAGCAACAACAGGCAGAATTACTAAGTTGCAGCAAGGACAACCGGAGGAAGCGCCAGAACCACAAACCAAATCAGCAACAAGCGCCGCAACAGCAGCAGCAGCAGCAGCAACAGCAACAGCAACAGAAAAAGCAACAGAAACAGCGGCAACGGCACCAACACCAACATCAATACCAATATCAGTGTCATTGACGACAACATCAGGAACAGCAGCAACAGCAGTAGCAACAACAGCAGCAGCAGCAGCCGGCGTGACAATGAAGACGACAATAGAAACAGCAACAACGACAAGAACGGCAGCAACAACAAAGCGTCATTAGCAGCAGCAACAAAAGCAAGAGCTACACCAACCGCAAAGGTAGCAGTAGCAAGAAGCAACAACCGCAGCAACAGCAACGACAATGGCGAGGGCCAAACCTACAACACCAGCGGCGCCGCTGCCAGCAAAACCAACAGCCATGCAGCAACAACGACAACGCCGACAGCGACAAACCCAAACTGCAACCACCGCAGCACGCGAAACCGATGGCTAGCAGCAGCTGCCGCGGCTGCCTGCGAAGCCGTTAGCAACAAAAAACAAGCAGCAGCAACAACAACGCCGATAGCAGCTGGCCAGCAGTGGCAACGACTACAACACTGGCAGCGCCAACAGCAACGATAACTGCAACTGCGTCAACAAGAACAAGGGCAAGAAGAAGAACAGCAGCAGCGACATCAGCAACAGCATCCCAACGCCAGCGACAGAAACAGCAACAACAACCAAAACAGCATCAGCCGCAGCCAACAGCGGCAACATCAGCGACTTTTCATCTTCGACCGCAGTCGCGCCCGCCGCAGCCGCCATCACCACTACCACTACCACCACCGCCGCCATCCAACAACAGCAACCACAGGAGCAGCAACAACGGCTAGCGACAGCAGTGACAGCAATAGTACCATGTTCGCAGCATTTCACGCAACCATGACAACAATGAAAAAGAACAGGCCGTGACTGAGAATCCGCCGTTTCATGGAAGAACTGCTTGCGCGCAAGGAGGCTAAGTAATTTGAAGATGCGCGCAGCTCGCGTCTAATCTGAAGCTATACCTAGAGGCACCGGCTATAACCCGACGTCGTTGCCAGCCACTTGGCTGTTTCAATCACAAAGATTCTGGCAGAGCTTTTTCATGGCTGTTGTCTCTACACACAAACTGAAGAAACCAGACAGACCGCAGGCACAAACAAGCAAGCAAACACAGGCGACAGCTGCAAACAAGCAAGCAAACGGGCAAAGCACCAAAACGCTCGTGATGTGTCTGCGGTTTATCCAAAGTCTCCTGTTGCCCTTTCCTTGCTGGTGCCAGTACACTTGTACACTTGCTGCCGGCAACATGGATCGTGCGATATTCTCGCATCAGCAGCAGCAGCGGCCCAGTAGAAGGCCCACCAGCTTTTGGCGCAACTTGCTCACAATCAAGCCCCAGGCCTAGCCCTTTCTTGCGTCTCTGCCCACGGAGAGCGATTCGCTCTCCATACTAAGAGTCAAGCTTTACGCGGCGCTGACAGCCTTTACGCGAAGCGCGCGGTGTGCGCACCTGGGGTTGGGGGGCGCGGCGTTGCTCAACGCAATCTCACAGCATGCTTGTCAGAACGGCCAGCCAACCCCGGATTCAAAACCAACCCCCGAATGCCACAAAATTTCTTTGTAGGTGTCGGGCTTCTTCCGGCGGTCATCCAGCTCGGTGCAGCCAGCGTCCTGATCCATGCCACCCTTCTCATCGTCGTCCTCCGTGGTGTGAACCATCATGCAGTAGGCCTCTGTCCACACCAACTCCGCCTCGTCTTCATCCAAGTCCTCCAGAGTAGGCGGACTTACTCGGGCCCTTGGACTTGCCGGATTTGCCCTTGCCTTTGCCTTTGCTCTTGCCCTTGCCACGATGAGGACCGGCTTTGCTTGTCTTGGGACAAGCCGCATCTCCTGCCCAGTGTCCAATCTGATGACATGCTGAGCACCTGCTCTTGGACTTCTCCCGCTCGATGAGTTGCCGCCGTTCATCTCCGCCACCAGAAGCCTTGTAGAAGCCGCAGGACTTCTGAACGTCACGGAGCTTTCGGCGTGCCTCTTGATAACTCGAGCGGTTCTTGTTCATCACCGCGTAGGCCTCCCCGACGTCACCATCTTGGGAAGCTCCACAATTGGACTTCTCCTCGTAATGATCCTCCTCCTGCACCTGCATTGCCTCTTCTTCCCAGTCTTCTCCCTCGTGCTCGCCATTCTCCTCGCCGTACTCATCGTACTCACCGTAGAAAGCCTCCTCGGGTTCTGCCACATCTTCATCCTGAACTGCATATCCACGCCGAGGAAATTGTCCGGGTTGTCGTCGAGCTTCTGGTCTCCAGGAAGTCTTCTCACGCTCATGCAGGTTGTGGAAGGAAACACGAAGTGACTGCTCAATCCCCTTTCTCTCATAAGCGTTCTTATTTGCCAGCAAAATAGATCGACGATCTTCACAGGATAAATGGCAGCCCTTGAGCAGGAAGTAGCTCAAAAGATCCTCACTCATGGCCGAAGTCTCATCCAAGTCACAGAGATCCTGCCATGCCTGCAACTTCTTCCGGAGGTATTGATCAATTGGCTCGCCTCGTCTTCGAACGGCGTGTTCGAAGAAATGATCAAATGCTTCTGTCTTGCGGATGATGCCCTCCTTCTCAATCTGCTGCAGTGCTGCAAAAATCTCTTTGTAACCATCTACTTTCTTCAACTTCGCGGGCTCCAGGACCAAAGGCTCCACAGTCTTCCACGCTTCGCCATGTAGGCAATTGACCAGCTTCAAAGCGAACCTTTTCTGCTTCCGATCCAAATCTGCTGCCTCCTTTTCTGGTGAGTCGCCCTCGCCCTCCAGGGTTGCGTATGCGAACAACACTCTGCGGCGGCATTCCTTCATCAAGCTCGCTATCTCGCCTGTATAATGCGGAATACCATCCTTATCGACAACAATCTCTGTATCAGACCAGAAAGGTTTGCCTCCTCCAGTCGCGGGCGCGGATGCCATGGAGCACCAGCTCCGCTACCAGTGCGAATGCGCAACTGGCAGCGTTGGGCTCACTTTTCCTATATTCACTCACGAAAGCACCAAAGGTGAAACACACAAATGAAACCAATCTGAATGTCATCTGATTTGATGTCCTGCGATCTGTTCTGCATGTCACGTGTCTGCTGCCATGTGAAGTGGGGTTGTGCCGTGCGGGCCGACAGCATGCTCTGGGCTATAAGCCACCGCTTGCTCGGGCCAGCCTTGATGCACATGCACTGATCCCAAATCCACGCAATGCATGCCAAAGTCAATCCATGCTCCTAGGCTGGTAAACCTAGGCGATTCTCACATTTGTATTATTATTTATAATGCAAGATGTTATAAATAATATTATTAAATTCATTGATGTAAAAGAATTGAAATTAAATAATTTTATTCAGTCATATAACGAAAATGATATATTAATTAAGTTTGTTAATGACTTTAGAAATAGTAAAATTGATTTTAACATGTTTCATAATTCTATTAATTACTGTATGCTGATTTATTTGAACAATCAGATTTAAATTTTATTGTAAAAGAATATATTCATATACTTTAAGTTTTATTGCTAACTATGATAATAAAAATGCTATTCAGTTTTCTGAACTTACATTGAGAAAAATGAATAATATTTACAAGAATAGTAACATTAATGTTGTTAATGTGTTTGAATGCATTAAATGTTTAATAATTTATATTACAGATAATATTGAAAAGGTTCATAAATATTCAAAATTTAGAAAAACTATTTTTTGGAATTTAATTGGTAAATTGAATAATAATTTAACGAGTTATACAATAACTAATGTTGAATTGACTTATAATGATATGGTTTTGTAAAATAAAAGTTTAGTTTGAAAAGTGTTATTTTATAATATAATATATATTTACATGGATGAAGAACTAGATAAGATTGTTAAAAAACTGAATAAGGTTTTAGACCAGAATAAGGATATTTGAGAAATCTTACAAGAAATGGAAAACAAGAAACCGTTAACAAACAATTATCAAAGTAAAGAAGTAGATAGAACCAGTGGTGAATATAAAAAGAAAAGAAATATTTATTTAAGCAAACTTAATAACAAAGAAATTAAAGAACCGAAGTCCTCCACTATGGCATTTTATCAAGTTGACTATGATGAAAACACGGGGGTTTATTCATAGATAATATTATCTAAATATCTTTAATAATGAACGTGAGTAGGGCGCGTCATCAACCTGTCGCTGTCTCTAAACTGGTGGTTTAGTGGCCCCAAGCTGGTGGTTTAGTGGCCCCAAACTGGTGGTTGCTGTCCCCGGCCATTATTTCAATTCATAATGTTTAACCATACTACAATTATAACATGTAAACTCCTATATGTTGTAATTACATTAAAAACATGGTTCATACATTACCTTAAAGGTTGTTTCGTGTAAATAACGTATTTAAAGTTTCTTTTATAGTATAGTATTATGAGCCATTCGGATGCTGAAGAAAAATTGGGTTGCACTATGGTTTATCCATGTAGAAGAGACTTTCATAAAATGTATGATAGAGTGAATATGACAGAATTATTTTACAAATCGTGCAAGGAATGTAGAGGAAAAAGCCAAAGCAACTAAAGAAAGCAAAAAAGAACAGAAAACAAACCAACAACAGAACATAAGAACAAACATGCACAAAATCAAACCTTTAATACCTTAGATTGAACGCACTGGACCTTCCCCATCTTTCCATACACATTTCATGATAATTTAATTTTATTATGAAATTTCTATGTTCTATCTACCTAACATTGCCCGTAATATTTCTACACAATTTATGATAAAAAAAATATATTGTAAAATAATGTATCATATTTTTTGGAATAATATTTTCTTAAATTTATTTGTTGAAAATTATGAAAATTTATTGTTTGGAAAATTATATTTAAAAAAAAACTTTGATTCTTAAAATTGATTTTTGTTTTTTTTGTTAAAAAAATGAATGAACTTAACCTTCCCCATCCTTTATACCAGCCAATAACCATATCCTATAAGCTACCCTATACTCCTACTTCCACTCCAGCATCCTAACAATGAGGTTGAGACTGTTATGAAATGTTTTGAGTTGAAATAGGCATAATGAATAAGGATGATAAATTGAATAGTGAAAAAATGGTTGAAAAATGGTGTCTTGGCGCGGGGGGGGCTACACTAGGATACCCCAAAAAGATGGGCAAGGCCTACTCTAACTCTTGCGCCAGAGCGCCGCCTGCGCCGCCGCCGCCAGCAGCGCCTCGGCCGCGCGTCACGCGCCAAGCCAGCAGAGCAGGCGACGGCCCATGCAGAAACTGGGGGGTTGGGGGTTGCTTGGTTGGGGTCGGGGGGTTGCTTGGTTGGTTGGTTGGTTGGGAAATTGCTTGGTTGCTTGATTGGGAAGTTGCTTGGTTGCTTGATTGGGAAATTGCTTGGTTGCTTGGTTAGTTAGTAGTTGGTTGCTTGGTTAGTTGGTTATATAGTTGGTTGGTTGGTTGGTTAGTTGGTTAGTTGGTTGGATGGTTAGTTGGTTATTTGGTTGGTTGGTTAGTTGGTCGGGTGGTTGGTGGGTTGGTTTGTTGGTTCGTGGGTTCGCCAAGCGATACGCCTCTGGAAGTCGTGGTGATGATGTTGTTGTTGCTGCTGCTGCTGTTGTTTGTTGTTGGCGTCCTAAAGTGATATCCTAAATGAGTTTGCTTTGGAATCCAATTTGGAAATCCAAAAAGGTTCAGTTGGGGTTCCCCCCGAACAATTGTGTTTGACGTTTTCCCTGTGTTGCGTTGTTGAAACCATCCATGTTGGGGTGTGTCAAAAAAGTTTGTCCCCTCCAATTGGCACTTGTGCTTTCCTTCTGGTTTCGATTGAAAACCATCCCTTGCAGGGCTCAACCACTGGATACATTCCCATGTGGGGAAGTCTTCGGAGAGCTGCCTGTGGATGGAACAAATGGCTGGCCGATTGGCAACATAGGTGGTTGGTGTTTTTTTTGGTTTATCCCTATTATATTGTGGTGATTGGTTTGACATCCAATTGGCAATTGTTCTTCCATCCACAGTAGGTTGTACATGGGTCTCTCTCAACATTAGTTTAGACCCGCAACGCGTGGATGGTTGTCCTTTAGTTTCCCAAGTTATATCCAGCCATTTTAGGGGGGTCCTGAGACAAAGCCACAACATGGGTGTCAACACGACAGCACTGTTGTTCTTTGCGAATTTTCTGAGACATGGTGGTACCTTCCCGTTAACGGGCCAGCCCGCCCAAATCAATCGAAAACCGCCACCCCAAATTGGTATTTGTCCAAGTGACCCAAATCCTGCATGTGGAGGGTTTCTATATTTGAACCCAACCCTAAGATTCCCAACGCTGAGAACCAGCAAAAAGGGCGCTCAATAGTCCAGCTGTGCATTTCCAGCTTCTCCGCAGTCCGCTTCTCGCCTTAATCCCTGGCCTTCGTCCAGTGGATGTCCGAATCCGAGGTTCCAAAAAACAACAGTGAGTAACAACCAGTTGGCAGTCCCAACCAAAGGGCGCAGTCAGCGCCCATATTTGTCCGAGATTCCCCCAGGAAGTGGACGGATCACAATTGGCTTCCTATGCGCTAACTGATTGTTACTCACTAAAAACGTCGCCAGTGGCCGTTCGCCACGGAGCCCCGCATCTGCGGCAAGCCCTGGAATTGGAAGTTCAGATTCGGTAAGGGTGAAACTTGGTCGTAGAAAAGAAAAAGCATCGGCCAGTGGTTTTGGCATTAGCCAGTTCTTGGGTTCCCAAGAACTTCCTGAAAAGGCAATCCACACGCCTCGGCTGGACGTGTTTTTGTGAGTAGCTAGTAGCGGAGGGCCTGGCGGGCTCCGAGCCGGCCTGGTGTCCTTTCGGAAAAATGGAAGATGGCACTGGCAAATGATAACTGAACCAAACAAACGGGTCCCAAACAGTTTTGACGCACAGCCATTTATCTTCAACCACAAAAAAAGGCTTAAAAGGACACCCCTGGCTCCAAGTCCTAGTACTGGCTCCAGTCAACCGCGGCAAAGGTGGAGCTTCCCCATGTCAGTTGGTTGAAGAAAGGGTCTTCTCGAACGCTCAGGATGCTGTAACGCCAGGATTCGTCTTTTTTAAGCATCCCCTGCAGCAAGCCAACGAGTTTGCCAGGGTAGTTGCACGAGTGATGTTTGTGACCATGTTTGTCTGGCATCAAAATGAGACCTCGTTGTGCATGCCCACGCCGTCTCTGAAGAATGGCCTGAAAGGTGACTCCAAGAGAAAACACATCGCACTTCATGCCGTGTGGCTGATACTTCTCAATTTCTCCAGCTGCGTAGCCGGGCGTGCCCACCCGCCTTCCTCCCGGCAACCTCTGTTGCTCAGGCGGAAGGAAAGCAGTGCATCCAAAATCTGAAAGCATGATGCTCAACCCACCCAGACTCGAATCCGAATGATTTAGCAGCACGTTCTGGGGCTTCAAGTCGCGATGGACTAAGCGCTTCTGGTGCATGTAGGCAACGGCGAAAACCATCTGAGCCATGAGATCCCGGCATGTCTGCAACCATCTGATGTCCAAGTGTTTGCCAGAGTTGTCGGCCTCTCTCAGAACAAACTTGTCAAGACTTGTGTCGGCAAGCCCCATCAGAATGCCTTTCCTTTGATCAAATGGAAGGCCTGCATCAGCACGGATTGCAAACCGCATCTCGCTACAGTCATGAATTTGCGCGAAGAATCTATGGTTCAAAGTGAGCGCGACCTCCGCTTCTTTTTGAATGTCTTGCTGGTTCATGCGCGGCGTTGCAAGCTTCAGTGCGTATCTACTCGGCACGTGATTACCTTGCGGCTTGCGTCAGTGCCAAGACCGCCCAAATGGGCGAACTTAACAGAACGCTGTCAACAAAGCTTCGACAAGCTGCACCACAAACTTGCTGGTTCTTAGTAGGGAATGCGAGAATGACCCCGGTTCCAACCATCCCTTAATGGGTTAACCACTGGTTGGTTGGTTTCATTCCCTACGACCAGAACCGGCAAGCAAAGCCCAAGCCGCACCACAAAGCCAACAAACAAAAAGTTCAACACCCAGTGCTCAGGGCTCAGGTAACCCTGGGGGGGGGGATACCCCTTTTTTGTTGGTCATGTTTAGAGGGAAACCACCTGGGAAAAAAGGGACAAAGGGCGCCACTCAACATCTGAGGCGTGTCCCCCCTTTCCGTTGGAGTTCTCCGTGGACTGCTCTTATGTGTGCAGGCATAAGAGGGCTGTCCGAAGTGGAGGGCCCTTTCTGAACCCGTTGGGTTTCCTTGCGTTTCCCTTTAAACAGGGCTCCAACAAGGGCCCTCCATTTAGAGCAACCCTCATGAAGTAGATGTGTAATCTTATGCAGGGGAGAGTTTGCTGGGATATGTTTAGAACACCCTCTTGCCTAAGCAGCTGCTTTGCCCTGTTCTTCTCATATGCGGCTTTTTTTTGCATGTTGCGTTGTATAAAAGATTCATTTGCGCTGCTTGGTATCGGCTGTGGGTGGTTTGCCTTCATGTCAACACACAAGTGTGCTGCAAATGTGTCAGCTTAATTACGCAAGGGAGAGCCTTCGGTGTTTGTTTTGTCCTTTGCCATTTATTGAATTCATGCGTCACGTTTGGCATCCGCCGTGGGCGGTTTCGCGCGGGTTTGGGACGCAATCCTGCCTGTGTCTAGGCAAACACAGGGATTAGCTTTTCAGAGCCATCTCGTGCTCGATTCCACTCTGGGTTGGACTGCCTTTGTGTCCGCACACAGGCGCGCAGTGGATTTATAGGCTTATGAAGGGGTGAGCCGTCTGTCTTATTTTTGTTCTTTGTTTGATATACAGGATTCATTTGTCGCGCTTAGCTTCCGCTGTGGTCGGTTTAGCTCGCGTTTGGGGCGCAATCCTGCCTGAGTCTAGGCAAAATATGCGATTTTCTTTCGAGATGCGCAGTAGATTTGTAAGCTGATGCCTGGGAATGCCTTCTGCGCAATTGTTGTTCCTCTGTTTACATTCAGGATTCATCTGTGACGTTTGGCATCCGCTGTGGGCAGTCGCGCACGCTTTTGGGACGCAATCCTGCCTTAGTGCCGCGCGAAAAAAAGATGTCCTTTGGAGAGGCAGGCGAGCTGGTTGCTTCCATTGCGTGTCCCGTTTCCATTCGGGTTCTCCGCTTCTCAAGTCCTATAACACCGCAAATGCATGCTAAGTTTGGTCCATGCGTGGGGACCCGACTGTTGTTGGAGCACACTACAACGTCCAACGGGAATTGGAACTCCCGAAGAAGGTCATGCCCATCCACTCAAGGGTCGGAGAGCGAGGCGCCAGCCGAGCGGGAGTAGTTTAGCCGAAGGCTACGTGCCGCGCCCCCCCCCCGGTTTGGCCGTGATGTGTTGTCTGCCTGCCGGTTTGGAGGTGCGCTTCTGCATCACCAGCATCCCTTGCCTCTGGTCTGGTCCGAGCGCGCATTGCTGCATCATCAGGACTTGGGCCATGCTTTTAACCTGGACTGGGCGACTGTAGAGATACCGTAACTACCGCTAAACAACAAGCCTTGGCCCAACATCATCAGCATCATCAAGGCTTGGTGTAGTTGCCTGTCCGGGCTTGAGGCCTGCATCATCAGCATCCAGGTTTGGGGCTGGCTCCAGCTTCCAGGACCGGGTGCAAGACATCATCAGCTTTCACTTGCATCATCTGTGCAAGTGTTACCTACAGATAATACCATGATAACGTGATCCATTTACTCATGAATCACATATGTCTGGGTGAACTATAATCATTCACCCACCGGAAATAAGGGATCCCCAAACAAAAAGCAACCTGAATCATTGGTTTTCGGTCGCAAACCCCCCAAACAAAAAGTGAGGTTGCAAACTAGTCCACCCAGACATGTATAATTATGTGTGTACACAAATTGCACCCGCTCGCCTGCCGGGGCAGCTGGCGCTGGGCGTAAGCCCTCTGAATAGACAACATATATGGGGTGTGTTCAAAAATATGGCCCCCTGTGTTGGTCCCTTTTGAATACCAAAAGAGCTGCTTGTTTTGGACACCCCCATTTTCTGCCTACATACATACGAGTGATGGGTAGAATAAAGGTAATACTGTGGATGGAGGAAATATTGCCATTGGATGTCAAACCAACGGACACAATATATATATATATATATATATATGGTAGAGGTCAGACATCCCCCCTTTTCCCTGTTTTACAGGCCATTGATCTCATGACACACTCATGTATCACTGTATCACCATGAAACCATTTGGCTCAAGGCCAAGTACTCCTCATCCCACATAGGAGCAAAAGCGCCATTGGTGAGCATATAAATATATATATATATATATATATATTTCTATATATATATATATCGGAAAAAAATGGAAACCGAAAAACCAACCACCTTTGTTCCCAACTGGCAACAGTTATTCCATCCACAGTATCAGGGCGGGCCCCCTCTAAACAGAAGGGGCATAAATACTGGTAATGGGTAGAATAAGGGTGGTAATATCAGGGTACTTACCCAGGCGTGGGTAAGCCTTTGGACGAGAGCCCTGCCTTCTTCTTCCGCTGTGACTTCAGTGACTTCGTAGACGATGCCTTCAGAACCACGGCCCAGCTCCCCTTGTGGTTTGAACTGACGACCAAAGGATCCGATGATCAGGTCGATGGAAAAGCCTCAGCGTTAGTATCGCTGGGGGCAAGGGACACTTTTGGACCCCAACCGAAACCCCCCACAAAAAACAGGGTAATTCCCTTTGTTTTCCAATGGTCGTGTCCAACCCCCAGCTGAGAAGCCCTCTGGTGTCCGGCTGTCCAATAGGAAGACGTCCAAGGACTGCGTGCACGCGTGCTCCCCCCCAGTCCCTCGGCGGATGTAGAGCACAATCCGCAAATCCGGCTTTCCGGGGCGCATCACCAGACCAGTCTTGCCGAAGCCCATATTGGCATGAAATGACAGCCTCCCCTCTGGCCCTTGCCTAGTCAAACATTGGAAGTAGTGGCGGGCTACCCAAGGTTGCCGATCCAAAGCGGTGATCACATCCTTCAACTTACCATAGATGGCAAGGTGGGTGTTCTCTGAAGCTTGCACTTCTGCGCATTTCCATATGGTCCCGCCTCGTAGCCCTGCTTCCGTCAAGAGATTCACCAAGGCCTGCTTGAAGTCAAGGAACGCTTCTTTCTCCCGCGCATCCTGCAAATCATCTACCCCCTTGATTTCGGTCTTCTGAAAATGGTCATTGAAACCTTCGTCCACCTTCTTGGACCACATTTTTACAACTGCCACCGTTGTCTGATCTTCTCGGCGAAAGCTGTATGGAGCTGTTGGTTGCACATTCCGGTCCAGGTCAGCTGCGCGGACATAGGCAAAAAGTCCTTTGCCTCTGCGCATCCAGCTCTTAGCTTCACAAACTCCATTTGGCAAAATTGTTTGCACTTCGATCTTCTCATGTGAGTCTTGCACTTCGATCTTCTCATGTGAGTCTTGCACTTCGATCTTCTCAAGTGAGTCTTGCACTTCGATCTTCTCAAGTGAGTCTTGCACTTCGATCTGCTCACGTGAGTCTTGCGCCTTGTTTGTTTTACGCGAGTCCCAAAAGCTGTCACTGGGTAGAAACAAAAAGCGGCTCACCTGCTGCCTGAAGCCATCAAATACTGTCAAATTGGGATTGCTTTCCATCAACCTTTTGCTGGTGGCCTTACACTTGGACCGGACACATGGGGTAAGCTGCAAAGATCGGGCGTCCGCAGTGCACCACAACCAGATGGCCATACACATCCACCAGCCATGAGAGCTTTGCAGGGAGAACTTTCGGCCCTGCAGGGTCCTCAACAGCTTCGCCAAAGTGAAGCGGTTCGCCCTACGGAGTCTCTGATACCACGCTTCAGCTGCGCAAAGCAGCAACAACTCTCTATCAGTGTCGGCCATGGCATCCATACTGCGGATGGAAGAAATGGCAGGCGCCAGTTGGCAAAAAGGGTGCTTGGTGGTGACTCCCAACACGCTGAATTTCCGAAGACGTGATGAAAATTCTAGCTTTTGCCCTTGAGCAGGCGGCTGGCATCCAAACATCCAAACATCCAAACATCCAAACATCCAAACATCCAAACATCCAAACCCAAGTCTCGAGTGCTCCGTTGAGTTATGCCAATCTTTGGCCGAGACCCCATAGGTGTCCCTTTGGGAAAATCTAACCTGATCTAAATTCGAAATCCGCTAATCCGCAATCCGCCTAATCATTGTGGATTAACTTAGATCAGGGTAGAAAATCCGCCGACCCCTTTGCAAAAGCAAAGTTAGTCTCTGCAAAGGGGGAAAGCGTGTTCTAAGTGGTGGTTAGGGGGAGTCTGAGGGGGGGAGGGGGGGTCCCGCAGCGGATTTTTGACACGCCTAACCTCTAACCCTAACCTCTAACCCTAACCTCTAACCCTAACCTCTAACCCTACTAACCCTAACCTCTAACCCTCTAACCCTAACCTCTAACTCTAGCCTCTAACCCTAACCTCTAACCCTAACCTCTAACCCTAACCTCTAACCCTAACCTCTAACTCTAACCTCTAACCCTACCCTCTAACCCTAACCTCTAACCCTAACCTCTAACCCTAACCTCTAACCCCAACCTCTAACCCTAACCTCTAACCCTAACCTCTAACCCTCCCTTTAAGCCTAACCTCTAACCCTAACCTCTAACCCATAACCCTAACCTCTAACCCTAACCTCTAACTTTGGATGATGATGATGAAAGACTAGGAAGATGACGGAAGACTACGGGAAGATGACGGAACACTACGGGAATTGACGGAAAGATGATGGAAGACTACGGGAAGACAACGGAAGACTGCAGGAAGATGACGGAAGACTACGCGAAGATGACGGAAGACTACGGGAAGCTGACGGGAAGATGACGGAAGACTATGGGAAGAGAACGGAAGACTGCGGGAAGATGACGGAAGACTACGGCAGAAGACTGCGGGAAGATGACGGAAGACTACGGGAAGATGACGGAAGACTACGGGAAGATGACGGGAAGATGCTAACCTCTAACCCTAACCTCTAACCCTAGCCTCTAACCCTAACCTCTAACCCTAACCTCTAACCTAACCTTTAACCCTACTCTAACCCTAACCTCTAACCCTAACCTCTAACCCTAACCTCTAACCCTAACCTCTAACCCTAACCTCTAACCCTAACCTCTAACTTTAACCTCTAACCGTGAGGATGGATGATGATGATGAAAGACTAGGAAGATGACGGAAGACTACCGGAAGATGACGGGAAGCTGACAGAAGACTACGGGAAGATGACTGACGGGAAGATGACGGAAGACGGAAGACTGCGGGAAGATGCCGGAAGACTACGGGAAGATGACGGAACACTACGGGAATTGACGGAAATATGATCGAAGACTACGGGAAGACAACGGAAGACGGCAGGAAGATGACGGAAGACTACGGGAAGCTGACGGGAAGATGACGGAAGACTACGGGAAGAGAACGGAAGACTACGGGACTGCGGGAAGATGACGGAAGACTACGGGAAGATGACGGAAGACTACGGGAAGATGACAGAAGACTACGGGAAAATGACGGAAAGACTACGGGAGATGATGGGAAGATGACGGAAGACTACGGGAAGATGACGGAAGACTGCGGGAAGACTACGGGAAGAGGACGGAAGACTACGGGAAGCTGGTGGGAAGATGACGGAAGGAGATGACGGAAGAATACACGAAGATGACGGAAGACTACGGGAAGATGATGATGATGATGATGATGCTGATGATGCTGCTGAGGATGATGAAGATGATTATGATGATGATTTGATGATGATGCTGATGATGATGATGATGGTGATGCCGATGATGATGATGACGCCGCTGATGATGATGACGATGATGATGATGATGATGATGATGATGATGATGGTGACGAGGATGATGATGATGATTAGGAAAATGATGAGGATGATGATCTGACGATGGTGCTGATGCTGGATGATGAGGCTGAGGATGATGATGCTACTGAGGCATGATGATGGATGATGATGACGACATGGTGGATGATGACGATGATGATGATGCATCGTCCTCATTCATCAGGTTGAGCAGCATCATCGTCATCCTCCTCATCATCATTATCATCAGCGGCGCCATCATCGGCCTCGTCATCCAGCATCATCATCAGCCTCATCATCCCCGCACGAAGCCAGACGTTGGAGAAAAATCCGGCCCTTGTTATCGCTGAGAGAAACTCTTCTCCGTCCCAGACCAAAAAGCAGCTTCCGCATCCCCAACATGCCAGGCATCACCCCAGACACCTGCAGGATGATGCCGGTGAAGCGGGGGATGCAAAAGCTGCCTTTTTTCCCGACATTCGAAGACCAAAAAGGCAGTTCCTGCATCCCCAGCAAGCAAAGCATCACCCCGGGCACCTGCAGGATGATGCTGGTGAAGCGGGGGATGCAAAAGCTGCCTTTTTTCCCAACATTCAAAGACCAAAAAGGCAGCTCCTGCATCCCCAGCATGCAAAGCATCACCCCGGGCACCTGCAGGATGATGCTGGTGAAGCTGGGGATGCAAAAGCTGCCTTTTTCTACAACCATGGAAGACCAAAAAGGCAGCCCCCGCATCCCCAGCATGCGAGACCTTGGCGCCAATCCTGCTGAGAGACGCAGAAGGGCCAGAGTTTCTCCAACGTGTGTGATGCTGTTACGGGGGTCGGCGGCATCAGGCGTCAGCCTGCTAAATAGAGGGTCCCTCGTAAATGATTAGAACCAAGCCTAAACCAGTGCCCCCTTTTGTTGAAACTGACCAAAAAGGACACCTATGAAACACCTACCATAATGGACGCCTCAATTAAGACATCGTCCCACCGCACAAAAATATTACATAAATGTTCACAGTAATTTTCACACATTTCATCACAACACGCCGCATCACAGGTAATTTTCAAAATATAAAATTTTCTGATAAAAATATGTCATAAAATTCTACCAGCATCATAACCTCAGTTAAGTCATCCTTACAAATCACGGTTTAAATTATCAAGATGTTTTTTGCATTTCAAATGTCTAGACAAATTAGGGCTTTTAACTTTACAACCACAAACCTCACAATCTTTTCAATTTGATTATATGCCTTTTTTCTTCGCGTTGCTCAGCATCATACTTCTTGCTTACCTCCTTAATTCGTTCTGGATTTTTTGCCCTATACCTCTTCCAACTTTCTGCGCAAACTATGCACCAAGTTTTCCCAGCAACTAATTGACTAGGAAGTTTTTTACATCTACATGAAGTGCATATTGTTTTATCGGGTTCATCCATCCTTACTATATTTTCTTAACTTCCCCTTAAGTCCAGACCATCCCAAAATCCCAAATTCCCAAAATATAAATCCCCATAATTTCAAAACATAAATCTTACAATGTTTTCATTGTAAAGTTCATGGGGAAATTATAATTTTAGTTCAGGATAACAATCTAACTGATGATGAGACAATTTCTATGTTCTTTACTTCTTTCATTCATCAGCTTGAAAATATTATTAATATCACTCACTCTATTTTTAACATTAAACTTTTTACTGTCAATATATAATTTGAGATTTTCTTTAACATCTTCTCCTTCATTTTTTTGATACACCAACATCCATAATATGCGGTGTATCATTTCATACTTTTTCTTATTGATTTTAAGAAACTGTTTAACATAATCATAAGGCGGAATTTCATAAACACCTGGAAATATTAAAATCTCATCTTCTACATTTCTATTATTTCTTCTTTTTTCCTCTCAACACACAATTGATTATAGATTGATTATATCTCTAATTTCTTCAAGTTCTACATACATCGTCTTTACCCAAAGCAAACCCAACAATATTATTAACTATTCCATTAGGTAAATTCAATTTGTGTAGTTCCATATTTTCTTTTTTGAAGTGGCAACAGTCATGGCATTTCTTATTAATATACTTTTTGATTTCAATACCGTTCATTTCTTCACTATTTATATATGGTGGTTTTTCTTTAGGACTATTTCGCCTTTTAATTAACATTATTATGAATAAAAAATCCCATAACTTCAAAACATAAATCTTACAATGTTTTTGCATTGTAAGGTTTATTGGTTAAAATAATAGTCAGGCAACATGTCTTCAAATATGTAATCTCTATATTTACCTATATCATCTTCATCTATATGTTTGATATTGTATTTTCCCATTATTGAATAAATATATTCACAGAAAAAGAAATTAACTAATAGACATACTTTGTATTTAGTGTTGTAGTAATGCCATATACTATATTTAGTTGCTCTAAATTCGTTCAAGACCTCGTCTATTTTATCTTTGTCTAATAAATGCCAGTCAATCCATTCAAAGAAAAAACGGTATTTATTGACAAATGCTTTATACGGTTTAATTGCGTTTGTCCCTCCAATTCTCCTAGTTAAATCTTCATTACTAAAGAATTCATCAATTTCTTGTTCAAATGACTTTCTGGAAATCTTATGGTAAAAGTGTATCGGAAATCTTGCTTGGTATTGCATAAAGAATTTTAATTGTAATTGAAACTTTGTATATCCCTCATCCTTATGTTCTTCAAGAAAAAACTTTTCAATGTCTCTTGTTATACAGCATTGATTGCAATATACATTATATTCACTTATTTTGTTGCATACATTTGCTGGTAGTAAATGATGTAAGGTTAAACTCAAATCATTCATTTTGCATTTACAGCATTCGCACTTGTTATAGTTAAACAACATTTCACTAATATTATAAGGCGCTTTTTCTTTAAGTGTATTTCGTTTAATATTAAACTTTGAATAATTCGTGTCTCAAATAAGGATTAGTTTTTTCTTCCAAATGAACTTAAGATTGACCTAATTTACTATCAATTGATTTTACTTTAAATACTTCTTTTAACCAATGACTGGTATGCGCCTTTTCGCTTATGCCTTTCTTCCTCATT